CCTGCGAGTCAGCGGGGGACCCACTGCTCGGACGCCCGCACAGGCCGACACCTAGCCACGTTTTCGCGTCGGCCCGGGTCGAGTCTCTACACCCTGACCATTGAGTCTCCTCCAGTCCTTGCGTCTGGCCAGGTAGCTGTGTCGGGTCAGGTGTTTGCTGCGGCGTCCAGGTCTGGTCCTGAGTCTGCCCCCTGCTCGTGTCGCCTCCTGTCTCACGAGACTCTCTTGTGGCACCACCGTCTTGGCCACCCCTCCTTGCCTCGACTTCGGGGCATGGCTTCCCGTGTCCTTGTCTCTGGTCTCCCCCGGTCTCTCCCTCCCCTTCCTTCGGGGCTAGGACCTTCCTGTGTCCCTTGTGTCGAGGGGCGGTTCCGGGCTGCCCCTCACTCCTCCCAGTTTCCCCCGACAGAGGCTCCTCTGCAGACGCTTCACATGGACGTGTGGGGCCCGGCCCGCGTCCGTGGACAGGGTCACGAGCACTACTTCCTGCTGGTGGTTGACGACTACTCGCGTTACACCACAGTCTTCCCCTTGCGCAGCAAGGGTGATCTCACTGAGGTGTTGATCGACTGGATCCGCGCGGCTCGTCTCCAGCTCAGGAGTAGCTCCGGCTCGGACTTTCCTGTTCTGCGTCTGCACTCTGACCGAGGCGGAGAGTTCTCCTCTGGCTTTCTGCGAGCCTACTGTCGTGCACGAGGCATCCGCCAGACCTTCACGCTTCCGGACTCTCCACAGCAAAATGGGATTGCTGAGCGCCGCATTGGCATGGTCATGGACGTCGCTCGTACGTCCATGATGCATGCGGCTGCCCCCCATTTTCTGTGGCCGTTTGCGGTTCGTTACGCGGCGCATCAGCTCAACCTTCACCCCAGGGTCTCCCGGCCGGAGACCTCCCCAGCTCTGCTGTGGACGGGGAAGGTCGGCGATGCGTCTGCGTTCCGTGGCTGGGGATCTCGGGCGTTTGTCCGTGACCTGTCTGCGGACAAGCTGTCCCCTCGTGCTGCTCCCTGTGTCTTCCTAGGCTTCCCCCCTGACGCCCCAGGGTGGCAGTTCTACCACCCCTCCTCTCGTCATGTTCTGTCCTCCCAGGACGTCACGTTCGACGAGTCAGTCCCCTTCTACCGCCTCTTCCCCAACCGCACTCCTTCCCTCCCGCCGCCGCCGCACTTCCTTGTACAAGGTCCCCCCCCGGTAGACCCCCTTCCCCCTCAGGGTCCTGCCCCTTAAGGTGTGTCCCAGGTCGATGCAGTCGAGCCGGTCGAGGTTGCTGGTGACTCAGGTACTGCAGGGGGTGCTGCGCCTGGGGGTGCTGACTCGGGGGGTGCTGAGTCTGGGGGTGCTGGGCCTGGGGGTGCTGAGTCTTGGGGTGCTGAGCCTGGGGGTGCTGAGCTTGGGGGTGCTGAGCCTGGGGGTGCTGCCTCTGGGGGTGCTGAGCCTGGGGGTGCTGACTCTGAAGGTGCTGCGCGCGTGGGTGCTGAGCCTGGGGGTGCTGAGCCTGGGGGTGCTGCGTCTGGGGCTGCTGAGCCCGGAGGTGTGGAGCCTGCGGCCACTGGACCTCCCCTTGTGGCGTCTGACGATACTGGGCCTGGAGGTTCTCCGGGTTTTTCGTCTCGGCGGGAGCCACTCTCTCCACAGGAGCTGCGTGAGTGGTTTGCTAGCCGCTGGAGGCGTACTGCTGGAGCTGGCGCTTCTTCAGCCGCTGAGGGTGCTGGTGCCGCCGGTCCCGGAGCTGCTGGGCCTGCGGGTCCGCCTGGAGCTGGAGCTGCTGAGGGTGTTGGTTCTGAGACTACTACTGTACGTCCTGGTGGTGGTCGTGCTGCGGGTACTGCTGGCGCTACTGGAGGTCCTGCCGCTGGAGGTGCTGTTGGCGCTGGTGCTGCCGGAGGTGCTGAGGGTGCTGGTGCTGTCCCTGCTGTGTCTGGTGCCGCCGCGCGGCCTCGGCCGTACTTCGTTCCGCTCCTTCAGCAGGTTCTTGGTCTTCCTCTCTCTCTTAGAGGGTCCACCGCCTGTCCAGTCGCAGTCACAGTTACCGCCGGCCTCCCAACTGCCTTCTCCGTCTCCGTACACTAGTCCTACTGGTGGTCTTGCTGAGCGTCGTGAGCCTGCGTCTCGTCCTGCGTCGCCTGTTCGTGCTGCTCGCACTAGTGGTCGCAGTTCGCGTCAGCGTCTTCCTCCTGTCCCTGGCACGCACCGGATGTCTTTGCGTCCGTCTACTGCTCCTCTGCGTGCCCCTTTGCCCTCTCCTCCTGAGTCCTCTCTTCCTGCGCTTGCCGACCCTGAGTCAGACTCTCTTCGTGCTGCCAGTCCTACTGTCACGCGTCTCCTTGCTACTGTTGTCACTGACCCCTCCTTTGAGTCCACTGCTGCGTCTGCTCTTGTTGCTGAGCTCGTCGACTTCGCTGCTCGCTGTCGTCTAGACTACGCTGCTAGTCTTGTTGCTGAGTCTGCGTCTGTCTGTCCTCCGTCCATCGGGGGTGAGTGTGCTCTTGGCACGGACGTCCTTGAGGACAGGCAGGAGGAGTTTCAGTGTCTGGGTGCTGCTTCACCTCATCTCGCGTCTGTACTGCTTGCCCCTGAGGGAGACCCGGATGCACTAGACATCCCGACTCCGCGCTCTTACGCGGAGGCCGTAGAGGGTCCCTACTCCTCTCAGTGGCAGGCAGCTATGGATGCAGAGATGGCTTCCTGGAAGTCCACAGGCACCTACGTTGACGAGGTTCCCCCTCCTGGGGCGAACATTGTCAGTGGGATGTGGATCTTCAGGGTGAAGCGGCCGCCGGGCTCTCCACCTGTCTTCAAGGTGCGGTACGTGGCTCGTGGCTTCAGTCAGCGGCAGGGAGTTGACTACTTTCATACCTTCTCTCCCACCCCGAAGATGACCACTCTTCGGGTGCTGCTGCACATAGCCGCTCAGCGCGACTACGAGCTCCACTCTCTTGACTTCAGCACTGCTTTCTTGCAGGGTAGCCTGCACGAGGAGATCTGGTTGCGCCGTCCACCTGGCTTCACTGGGACTTTCCCTCCTGGCACCCAGTGGAGCCTCCGACGGCCAGTCTACGGTCTCCGCCAGGCACCACGTGAGTGGCACGACACACTGAGGACTACGCTTGCGGCTCTTGGGTTTGCTCCCTCTACTGCTGACCCGTCGTTGTTTCTGCGCACCGACACTTCTTTGCCGCCGTTCTACATCCTCGTGTACGTCGACGACTTGGTCTTTGCCACAGCGGACACTGCTGGACTCGCCTACGTGAAGTCCGAGCTGCAGAAGAGACACACGTGCACAGACCTGGGTGAACTGCGCAGCTACCTTGGCTTGCAGATCACTCGGGACATAGCACGCCGCACCATTACCTTGACTCAGTCACACATGGTGCAGCAGGTCCTTGAGCGCTTCGGCTTCACGTACTCCTCGCCTCAGGCCAATCCTCTGTCTACCCGCCACTCGCTCTCAGCTCTGCCTTCGGATGAGTCCGTAGAGTCGAGTGGCCCGTACCCAGAGCTTGTTGGCTGCCTCATGTACCTGATGACCTGCACACGACCTGACCTTGCATACCCTCTTAGCATCTTGGCACGCTATGTTGCTCCTGGGAGACACCGACCAGAGCACATGGCTGCAACGAAGAGGGTGTTGCGCTACTTGTGCAGTACGTCGGGCATGGGGCTAGTGCTTGGAGGGCGGAGTCCAGTGGTCCTCACTGGGCACGCGGACGCTTCTTGGGCTGACGACCAGGCTACGCAGCGGTCGTCGCAGGGTTACACCTTCAGCCTTGATTCCGGCTCTGTTTCGTGGCGGGCTACTCGCTCGTCTTCTGTTCTCGGCTCCAGTTGTGAGGCTGAGATCTACGCCGGGGCCATGGCTGCTTAGGAGCTTCGCTGGCTCACCTACCTGCTGACTGATCTTGGAGAGCCGCCTCGTTCTCCTCCAGTGCTGTACGTAGACAACAAGGCCATGCTGGCCTTGTGTCGAGAGCAGCGCCTGGAGCACAGAACGAAGCACATTGCTCTCCGCTACTTTCTTGCTCGTGAGCTGCAGCAGCGTGGTCAGCTGCGACTTGCGTACGTGGCCTCTGAGGCCAACACTGCTGATGTTTTCACCAAGGCACTTCCGCCTTGTGATCATCAGCGCTTCTGCACTCAGCTGGGTCTTGTGCCTGTCTTGCCTCACTTGCTCACCTCTTGATCTTGCTTGTACTCTTGCATATATATTTATTTATATATACCTACTCTTGCTTGTTTAGCCTTATATATATATGTATTCCTGCATGTGAACTGGCCTTGTGGCCTTGACCTTGTGCTTGGACTGTGTGGTGACTTTGTGATCCACCCTGAGCTTGCTTTGCTTGACTGGTCTTGTGACCCCTTGTTCTCCCCCACTTTGCCTATGGGGGTGTGTCAGAACATTATAGCTTATGCTTTTGTGTAGGCTGTAGTGGGGTATCCCATAGGGGGTACAACCCAATTAGGGTTAGTACTTGTACCCACTTCATTCATAGTTCATTCATTCTCGTTCTCATGATCACAGTACCCTTTGTCTTCTCCTTGCCTATATCTTTGTATGCCCTCCCTTATTCAAACCCCTCTTTTGGCCAACCTTTACTCCCTCGATAACCATCTCACTATGCTACTCCCCTCCAAGCTCCTAATCTCCTAAATTCTTATCTCAACACCGTGCTACTGGGTGCCTGAAGCAGACCGAAAGGCAAGCCATCGCTGCAAGGTTACATCAGAGCCAAGACTTGCTTTGCCATAGCGCTTTTAGACCCAACGTCAATGCAAGACCAATTGCATGCCTGAACATGTACGGTGTTTGAATAAAGGTTACCCCAACATACGCTATGCCACGTCCCCCATGCATGCAGGTGTTATGAAATTCACTGTTGAGCAGGTACAAAATATATATTACGACCACACTCCTAACCTAAGCCATCTATCATCCACCCACACCACACTACAACCACCCCTTCTCTGCCTATTCATGGTACAGTATATTGTTTTGTTTG